TTTGGTGGGCCTGGACTGGATTTAAACCACCACCTTTAGGTGTATGTAGCTGGTGCCTTAGCCACTTGAGCCACAGGCGCTGAGCCAGTGATTTTTATTTCTCCCAGAGAAATAAAATTCCCTCCAGGGGCAGGAAAAGGCCCTTTCAGGATTTTCGAGGCACGCCCCGTCCTTCCTTTTCTTTTCCCTTTGCCCATTGCTATTCCTTCCATTTTAGTTTTCTACAATCCTGTTTAAAGTGCCTGGGTTTCTTGCAGTGCTGTAAAGCAGAGGGTTAAGTCTGTTTTAGAATTTATAGGCATGTTTGAGGCCTAGGTTTGTTGGGTGATGTTTTTTTCTAGTGGGAAGAGAAGGACGGCTTGGCTGAGGGTGCAAGCTCGCTCCTAGAATTGTTTGAAAGCAAGAAAGGACTACATACTCTTAGATGGCATATAGCAAAATGTCTTTATTTTCCATTCCCTTTTATTGGGAGCTAGTCACATACATCACATTGATCAGTAATCCTAACATCCTCAATTCTTATCTTAAACTATAGAAAAGAAAGAAAGTCTGGGAAAGTGAGATAGCCCTCATAAGATTAGCCTAAAGAAAGAAAGTCCAGGAAAGTAAGACAACCATCTTAAGTTAGCCTCAGGCTGTTCCTCTCTGAAGACCTACAAGAACTAGACATTATCGGACTTTTATTTTTAAAGTTAAAGGTTAGGATAAATGGGGGAGTAAAACCTTTTTCTTCTATGTACTCAATTAAATTTCCGAGAAACAGGCTCCATGACTATTTTCTTATGGTTTGGAGACCCTGCAGTTACGATGGAGTATTTTATTCACATCATTACAATGGAGTTTTTCTTTTCACTCACATCAACCTTTGAGTCATGTCCTCTGCACAGATGGGCCATTTCAACCCTTATCTGGCAGGCTGACTTGACTACACAGTTGGGGTTCCCTGTAGGAGGTTGTTAAGCCTGGCCTGCAGGCCCCCACTGTGTTTTCCCAGGTTGCTTAGGTCTTGACAAGCACTTAATACAAGTCTTTCCGCTCAGTTTCTGGAATTAAAAGAGCACATTTCATTTAATTTTTGTGGGAGTTTACCCCACATAGGTTGGGTAGACAGTCATTTTTTTTTTTTGAGACAGAGCCTCAAGCTGTCCCCCTGGGTAGAGTGCCGTGGCATAGCCCACAGCAACCTCCAACTCCTGGGCTCAAGTGAGTCTCCTGCCTCAGCCTCCCAAGTAGCTGGGACCACAGGC